AGCGACGTGCATGGGGGGGCGGCCGTTTCTTACAGGTGGTTGGGCATCGCCTCCTTCGGGGTCCCGGAGAAGCTGGGCTGCGCCAACTTGCCGCTGAACAGCCGCCAGAAGGAGCTGTGCAAGAGGAAGCCCTACCTGCTGCCCAGCATCCGCGAGGGCGCGGCGCCTGGGCGTCCAGGAGTGCCGCAGCCAGTTCCGCCACGAGCGCTGGGACTGCCGCGTGGCCGCCGCCCCCTCGGCCGCCAGCCCCCTCTTCGGCTACGAGCTGAGCAGCGGTGAGTGCCGGGTGGCGCGGGACAGGGGCGACCCCTCCTCCGATTCCTGTAAAGGAACATCGATGGTGCTTGTGTGGTCCCGACGCGCTCCCAATCCCCGGACGGGGACGGGGAGCCAGCCCCCGGGCGCAGGTGCGGTCCTGGAGTGGGGGCGGGAGTGCGGGCGGGGGGGCTCCCCAGGTCCTGAGCCAGAGTGCTTCCTCCTTCCCGCTGGGCCCGGCTGGAGTGGAGGGAAAACTCTGACACTGAACCCCGCCGACCCCTCGGACCCGTAGCGCCCCCCTACCTGGGGGACCAGCTGGAGAAACATGATGTCGGCGGCAGAGAATGCTGCGGCCGCGTCTGCTGGGCCTTGGACAAGCGGCCAATTGCCGCGTTTGCTGGCTCCTTGGAGCGCCCGGGAGACGGAATAATGGGGATTTTTAAAGGGATTGTCCTGGACGACCCAACGTGCACTAACCAGAGCGCGACCACTCCGCTCTTCCCTTCTCTCCCCTCCTCTGCGCTCACCCGGGGGCGGGAAACTGCGGTGAATAAAGTTCCACTCCCAGGTGCCTGGTGACTCGGTAAAGATAAAAAAACAAACAAACAGGGAATCGGGGTTTTTCCAGGAATATTAGCCGATGCAAGGAGTTTTAGGACCTGGGCGCTGAAAGATTCGTTGTTTTTCACATTTGTTTCCGTTCTCCCTGCGCCTTTGACCCCTCCCCACCCGGTTCCTACACACGCCGCCGCCCCGGCGTGGCCTGGGCCCTGCTGCGTTTTGGCCCGCACGCCCTTCCGAAGGAGCCCCGACCCCCTGCGGGAGGAAATAAAAAAGGATGTGCTCTTCACAGTTGCTGAAATGCGGAGGCATCAGCTGTTGAAGAGGTTTATTGGACAACGGGCGCGAAATTGTTTCCACTCCAATTTAAACATCTCGAAAGGGAAAAAAAAGTCGCCTGCGGAGTCTCTTAGTCCGTTTTATTGATGCTGTAATAGGCCTTTAACTTTAAAAGATGTTAGCCCAAACGCTATTGCTAGGGTGCTAAATACATATTCAGTTATTTTCCGTAACAATTTTTTTTTTTTTTTTGCTGGTGACATTTCAATGATCTTTCATTTTAATTATCTTTAAGCCTGTAAGAGGATTAGTTAGTACTATATAAAGTGTATAATGGTTTCAAGTTAATATTAGGATTGTTTTTAACGCTATTCTAAAGAAAGGAGAGTCTTTAATGTGAAACTAAACATGTATCATTTATCACCTAATTGCTTTGATCTTGGTTTAAGTTTAACTTGCTTTCTGATAGGTATTACTCAGGAGAACAAAACTGCACCAAATTTTTCAGCTTGTGTTTCGTGAGAAAACATTTTAAATTTTAAAAGAAAGGTAATCTGGACTCTTTGGGGGCATCGTATACCATTTACTGGTATCCACGCAAAGGATTTTAAATTTGACCTGTATTTATTGGGCTTTGATTGTCTATTAGGCACTGAACTAGGTGCCAACATCAATTTTATATTTTAGGTCTTTTTACGTCTGAGAACAATGATAACCAATATCTGACGATCCCTCAAACGGGATATTAACCCAAAATTAATGTTGCTTTCTTAAAAGGCTACCACAATAGGAAATCATCCTTTTAAAATATGCACTCATTAAAGCATCCGCTGGAAGCCTTCGAAAAATTGCTTCGCTGACAAGAGAATGAGTAGGAGGCTCTGTTATGAGCATAAACAGAGAGCGTATGCCTCTCTCATTTAGCAATCTATGTCTTATTCTAGGCACCAAGGAAACAGCGTTTATCTATGCGGTGATGGCTGCCGGCCTGGTGCACGCAGTGACCAGGTCATGCAGCGCAGGCAACATGACGGAGTGTTCCTGTGACACCACCTTGCAGAACGGCGGCTCAGCCAGTGAAGGCTGGCACTGGGGGGGCTGCTCGGATGACGTCCAGTACGGCATGTGGTTCAGCAGAAAGTTCCTGGACTTCCCCATCAGAAACACCACGGGCAGAGAAAGCAAAGTGCTGTTAGCAATGAACCTACATAACAATGAAGCTGGAAGGCAGGTATGTATTGGGAAATGGCATAAAATTCATGGCTTTTAGGTAAATAATACAGGGACGACACTTGTGCATGAACCTGTTCAAACGGTTTAAAAACAAACCGTACTTTCAGTCTAAGAAATCTATGTGTGTATATATGTATGTATATTATGTTTTGTTATGTACGTATGACTGTAAATTTATACATGTTTTTCTTTCATGAGCCTGTACTGACTGCATTGATATAGTTTTAAGTTCTCCATCTAACGTGAGTTCAGTCTTGTTATAGAATGTATTTGTGATTGTATACTTCGTATACCTGAAATGCTGATTGTAAAATCGTAGAGGTATAAGTGCCTGTTGGGTTCTTTGGCTCCACCCCCTTAGCTGATTAGGGGTAGAGCCTGAGTAAGATCTACAGTATCCGCCTTTCTAATGGGACTGGATCAAATTTCCTCAATTGGACTTTTGATTATTTTTTTATATCTATTTTTAGGGAGCAATGGCTCCTAGACCTGTTGTCTGTTTTACTCTTACTTTCTCTAGCAAACATTCTTAAATACATTTGGAATGCACGATACTTAACAAATATGTTTTTTTAAAACAAAGTTTTTTAAGGGAAATATTTATTTTATTTAAAGCTATGTAGAGCCATTGTAAAATTGATAAATACAGATAAATGTAAAGACGTTCTAGATCTATTAAATATGTGGATATTTTAAAATATAGATATATTTCAGCAGGAAGCAAATTTGAAGTACCACCATCTAATTAAACTCTTTTATGACTCTAGGTTTTCTTAAAATGGAATAAATTTGTAGCTTAATTTAACTTTTATACATTTACCGTAATAAATATTGACACAATAAAATTTGAGTTCAACACCATAGTTGAATTACTTGGCAATTCATCTGACTTTCCTAAAACAGCCAAAACGTTTTTTATGAATATATATTTTCTATCTTATAATAATCTTTTCAGGACAGGAATATCAGCACACATCATATACTATTGTAAATACCCAGTAACCTATGAAAGTCCCAAAGTATCATTGCAATCTGCTACCTCTCCTGAAATAAATTAAAACAAGTTTCAATATTTCTCACGAATATTTAAAGTATATTTTGCATTTTTTTCACATTTTTGGAAAGTGAATAAATGGAACCCAATTAGAATAGTTGAGAGTTTCAGCCAGTTTTCTTTATTTAACCACTTTGGTTTAAAGTACAAAAACAACCCAGCTGGTGTGGCTCAGTGGTTGAGTGTCGACCTATGAACCAGGAGGTCAGGATTCAATTCCAGGTCAGGGCACATGCCTGGGTTATGGGCTCAGTGTCCAGTGTGGGGCGTGCAGGAGGCAGCCAATCAATGATCTCTCGCATCATTGATTTTTCTCTCTTTCTCCCTCTCCCTTCCTCTCTGAAATCAATGAAAATATATTTTAAAAATACAAAAACAGAAAGCTCAGTAAATATATCACCATAACACATCAAATTCAAAATTTCAATTCAACTTGAATGTTCAATTAAAAATTGCAAAGTAGGAAATTAGTAAATAGTTATGTAAACTTTTTGTTTTTGTTTAAGAATTTAAAAAATTAATTTACCTCACTAAAGTCACTCTTCCTTAACACCATAGTTATGCATATGCATCTTTTCCTTAAAGTTTTATATTTTAAAAAATTAATTTATAGTTTTTGCTGCAATTTAAATATTATCCAATAAAGAAATTTTTAATTATTTCTAATATATTAATATAAAAGAGTTTAAATGTAGTTAACATATGTTCTTTAAAACTCGAGTTAAGCAAGAAAAAAGCATCAAGGTAAGTCAAATTAATATATTTAAAAAATAAGAAAACAATTAAATAATGTTTATTATTAATTTAAACCTTAAATATTTGTTAAATAAATTGTTAGAGATTTTAATTTTTTTAACCAGGAAACAAAACTCAGAAACTCAAATTATGATCTCTTGAATGAAGTCCTCTCTGAACATATGAAATGTCTTTAAGTCTCTAAAATGTATTTTATTAATAATATTAGGCAACGATTGAGTTTTATTCCATCTTGTGTGAATTTTTAAATTATGTAACAATATTTGCTTTTGTAACTATTAACTTGGGTCTTAAGCTAGTATTTATAATCTAATTTTATTAAACGTATACAACTATTCAGCACGAATTTTAATTCTTTTTTGGCAAAAAAAATTTCCTCACATTCCCTAGGTTTTTACTATTGCTTTGATTATGCAGAAAATAATTGAGTTTATACAATTATACACATTTTATATAAATTAAACTTCCTCTACTAAATTTTTTTCACGGTGTTCTAGATCAGTGATTTTCAACCTATGTGCCGCAAGAGTTTTTAAAACATTCAATACCTGACTATTTAGTCAGGGGCACTGACCTCTTTTCCCTTAGATTATCAATTTTAAAAAATGACAACAGCCAACACAATGGCTGTATGGTGTGAATGAATCAAAATTATACCTATTTTCTTGTCAGATGGGCTAGAAATATATATTTTTGGTGTACTGCAGAATTTTGGTAACTAGTGTATGTATGCCATGAAAAAGGTTGAAAATCGCTGAAATAAATAGAAACTTAAAATATTAAAAAACATTACCTGGATATTTTGAAGGTATTACACTGGTGTTTTTATTGGTCTTTTCTCATAAAGTATTACAATTGAAAGCATTTTTGTATTTTTCTTTCTTTTGGTGGCCAAAAGAATAAAAACCACCATCACCACCACCACAACAAACTAACCAGGTTTCCAGGTTATTATCTAACATGGAAGAATGATCAACTCCATTTTCAATACTGTCAAATGGGATTTTAAATTATAGGCACATCCTGAGTCAAGTTCAAGGTCTGCATTCAATTGAGTTGATTTCCCTCGTCTCAAAATCCCAAACTCCAAATGTCGAAAAGCGTTCAGAGAAATGTGGGTACTGGCGCTTAGTTGTGTTGTGAGCAGGATAGATGATTTTCTAACCGCTGACCTTAAATTCCCACTTGGTTTCTGACACCATTCCTAAAGTTATGACTCCAAGAATAATGTTGCCGGATGGCGATTGGCTAACAGAATGATGTGATGTCTTCCAGGGGCAGAACTTCTGGGAATAATGTGACTTGGAATATTTATGGGTATTGCTTTTGGTGTGCTTAAAATATTTCCATTCTTCCCATGTCCACCTCATAAACTTTTAAGTTTTCCTACCCCATAATTTGTTTTATGATGACTAACTCAAAAAAGTGGGAAGGGCCCAACCCCAAATTTTCATTGACCTGTTTCAAGAATATTTATAAGTACTTGAACAACACATAAGTGTTTTGCTTTTCAGCAGATTCAAGTATATTTTTGGACTAAATGGCATGAAATGGGTGAGAAGAATAGATATTCTACCTTCACCCATCCAATCTTTGGTCACAGTTTTCATAGAAACTTAAACAAATCATCTAATAGTTGACAAAATGAAATGCTCATCATGAAATGTTTCATAACAGTTTTTTGATCATTTCTGTGAAGTTTGTGTAGAGCAATATATTGGAAAAATCACAGCCTGCTGTGTTACCTGAGTCAAAATTGTGGGACCAATCACTCCTTAGACCCTTCTCAAACATTTTCTATTTTTACCTTTAAGCATTAACGATACATTTTTTGTATTTCACTTCACTAGAAGTGTATCAAACCAAAACTTAACACAAAGGAGCCCAGTAGATTAAATGTTCCCTTCCTAATTGTTCTCCCATAGTTAAAAATATTCCACCAAAATGTGCACATCTGTTTGCAATAGTTAACAAAACATTCCTCTGTTAATATCGTTATAAACCTTAACTACTCAACTAGAGTAGAGAAAGGAATTTTCTCATAACCACACACAACTCATTTGGTTGCTACTCTCTTACTTTCCCTGTCCCCAACCCCCCCAAAATGACTATGCTATCACTGGAGAATAGCTATTAACATTAATTAATACTCGCTGAAAATCTCCAAAATATATTTTTTGAAGTTCATGCAATTTTACTAAATATACTTGCATGTTCCACTACGTTTTTCCCTCTTTTACTAAAATGATCCAGCTTCATATAAAGATTTTGTATAATGTATCACCAAGCTTTCCTTATGAATGACAACTACCTTAGCCACAGTTTATTTTTCTGTAAAACAGGAATAATAAGTACATGTTCATAACTACCTACATTTCTTCCTATAAAACGAAATTAAGTAAAATCATCTATGAAACTAAGCTCGTGTGTGTGCGTGTGTGTGTCTGTGTGTGTCTGTGTGTGTGTGTGTGTGTGTGTGTGTGTGTGTGTGTGTGTGTATCTGCCACTGAACTCTGCCTTTCGTCAAATTCTTGTAGTGGTGATTCTATTTCTTTATTTAATCCCTATTGTCCAAGTTTCTTCCTTAGAGTATTATGGGGATATAATAATTTACATTGCATGTCAAGTTATTGGGATTCTTTTCTTTGAAGTTTATTTGTCTTTCTCTTCTAAAATATACGTATGTAAGACAAAAACACTTTCTTTTTTTATACTTTTTGTTAGGGACAAAAAGGTAATAGAATTCAAAGGTAATCAAATACAAGTTCTTTAAAACGTCACTCCTGAAAAGTTATAGTTAACTCCAGATATTTAACAGGGCTAGTTTTCTATGGCAGGAAAATTCCCCCCAAATTTTGACAGATTCAGCAGGTTGTGTCATTGAATTTAGAAGTCAGTCTCTTTATCCTTCAAACCCATAAAATAGTGTGTCACTCTTACGGGCTACCACTGCTGTGGGCTGACAGTGGTATTGGATCAAGGTCTTCCAGTACCATTCACCTCCCAGCAGTGACTCTTTTGTTTTAAAAAGGTGGTTTTTATTACTACCTCCAATTCAGATTACCAATAGAGAATGAATTAAAACTGTTTAAGTGAGTTGGACTAGTTATTCATTAAATATTTGGAGAGCATCTACTCTGTCTGCTACGCTTTGCAAATTGGCAACGTCATACATGATATTTGAACTGGTTAATAAAAGAAAAAGTCAGCTTTTCAGTCATGATACAGAGCCAAGGGCAGCTGTAAATCACGAGGTGATGACTGTAAGGAACGCTGATCAGGTTTAAACACATAAATATAATCCTTGGACGTTTGGCTTTCTTAGGGCAATTTGTTTTGTTATTACCTAGTTTTGGTTGAGCCCTTTTATTTCTCATATCCTTAGGGCACTTAAAATCTGAACAGAAGTAGACAGATTGCATTAATTTCAACATTTTAAAGAACTGAAGGCTTTGTGAATATCAAATGCCATAAATTTGACCAAATGAGCCTGTGTACCATACTTTTTGCCTCCATATCATTGAAAGATGCCGTTTTGCCTGAATTAATAAGAAGTAGACATATCCATTAACTTCTCAGTTTTGTGAACTCAAAAAGAACATGTGCGCTGTAGTCTAAAAAGAACAGGGTTTAAAATACTATTCTGTTTATTATTTTAAACACCAGTCAGAAGTATCAAATATGGCATAAATCAATGCCGTATGCTCTCATTCAAGTTGCAAATATTATCATTTGTTTGAAATATTCTGTCTCGTTAGATAGTTCAGAAACTTTGGTTAATTTGTTAGGAAATGTAACATCCCGCAAACATATCAACGTCATGTTTGGTACAAAATAAATAGCAACGTATAAAAGCCCTGTCATGTTACAGCTCGGATGAGATCTGTAAGTGGGATTTAAGCTGTGAGATTTTGCCTTTCTTGGGTGAGCTGACACACACAGTTTCCAGGTTATTGAGTGGATAGATCAGCTTTTCACTTCACCCAGCACGTTGACAGCCGTCAGCTCTGCAGCTAGCCCTGACAATTTATTGTTCTGCTCTGCCATCCTCTGGAGACTGAGGGAAGCTGTGCTGACTAGCCTGGTAGGTAAGAGGTTTGGAACCCTAACACTTTTTAAGTCTCTATATTGTTTTTGCACTGTTAGCCCCATTTGCAATTTATCTCCACTCTTACCGTACCTTCTTCAGAGACAGGGGGCATGCGTTTAGACCACCGGTTCTCAACCTGTGGGTCGCGACCCCGTTGGCGGTCGAACGACCCTTTCACAGGGGTCGCCTAAGACCATCCTGCATATCAGATATTTACATTACGATTCATAACAGTAGCAACATTACAGTTATGAAGTAGCAACGAAAATAATGTTATGGTTGGGTCACAACATGAGGAACTGTATTTAAAGGTTCAGGGGGTTGAGAACCACTGATTTAGACCTTAATGTGTGCCAGGTGGTGAGCGCTTACAGATCTATGTAATCTCATTTAATTTCTCAGTCTGTATAAATGAAGATCAGCACATAGCATTGACAAAAATCATGTAGATACTATTCTCTTTCTATGTTAGGATGGTGCTACTAATCCATCAAGAATATGACATATGTTTTGAATTGATTTTCCAGAAGAGAGGAAGGATTTTCTGGAAAATCACACTCTTTAGCCCCTTCGTCTTTTGCCCGGGTTTACAGTGATCAGACCTAAGAACTCCCAATTCAGTCAGTAGGTCTCATCTCTTGATGCCCGTTAGAATCACCTGAGCAGCTTTGTAGACATACCAACACCTGGACCCCACCTCAACCAATGAAATCTGAATGTCAGGGTTTGAGCATTGGTTATTTGCAAGGGTCCACAGATGTTTCCATGCACACTGTGAGTTGAAGGTGACTTCCCTATCAGGGCTTCTCACCTTTTAATGTGCCTATGGGTCACCTGAGGATCTAAATAAAATGCAGATTCTGATTCTGAGAATCTGCACTTCTTACAAGTGATACTGGCGCTGCTGATCCATGAACCACACTCTGAGTAGCAAGATGCTAAATGTATTAGGAACATGAGGACATGTGTGAACATCACTCCACACCCCAAATTAAACAAGATATTAGGAATAAAAGTAGTTTTCCTCTCATCTCTAATAACAATATTAGCCTCGCCCACTAGCTTAAATTTGACTTGGAAAGGTTTGCTAGGGTCCAGAGGAGGACAAAATACTTGAATGTTAAGCAGCCTGGAAGATCCTTTATGTTCAAAACCATCATTTTTTATACAGGCGGAAACAGACCCAGAGAGTGAAGTGATGAGGTGAGTTTGCTTCTGTTATTGAGTAAAACGCGCTTCATGAGTGATATTTAACACGGTTCCTGTTGGTTGCAGGCTGTGGCCAAGCTGATGTCCGTAGACTGCCGCTGCCACGGAGTGTCCGGCTCCTGTGCGGTGAAAACATGCTGGAAAACCATGTCTTCTTTTGAGAAGATTGGCCATTTCCTGAAGGATAAATATGAGCATAGTGTTCAAGTCTCAGACAAAATAAAACGGAAAATGCGCAGGAGAGAAAAGGACCAGAGGAAAGTACCGATCCGCAAGGAGGATCTGCTCTACATCCATAAGTCTCCCAACTACTGTGTAGAGGATAAGAAAATTGGGATCCCGGGGACACAGGGCAGAGAATGCAACCGCACGTCGGAGGGCGCCGGCGGCTGCAACCTCCTCTGCTGTGGCCGAGGCTACAACACCCACGTGGTCAGACACGTGGAGAGATGCGAGTGCAAGTTCATCTGGTGCTGCTACGTTCGCTGCAGGAGGTGTGAAAGCATGACGGACGTCCACACCTGCAAGTAACCACTCCGTCCAGCCGTGGGCACCACGCCTCACTGACCACAGTGGAGTGCCACTTTGCAGGGCTAGTGAAGTCCACTCTGGCCTCGAAACCCAAGATCCTTGGACCCTCCCAGAGTTCCCTTTACCTGGTTGACGTCCAGTCACACACTGAGCATGTGGATTTGGGGGAATTCTTCAAGTTTTGGGTTCCTAATTTGGTGATTTGGGGGAATATATATATAATCATCTGTCTCCTAAGCAAGAAAGAGCAGGAAAGAACCTTCCTGTAGAAGATCTGGTCATCTTCAGGATAAGATCCTTGACTATGGAACTCAGTTATGGAACTCAGTAGGAAGGGGTGACTGTTAGTCATTTTTAAAAGACACCTCTTACCGCAGCCAGGAGCGTACAGGTGAATCTCATTTATTCTCTCAGCATCTTATTTTTTTCTTAATATATTTTATTGATTTCAGAGAAGAAGGGAGAAGGAGAGATAGAAACATCAATGATGAGAGAATCATTGATTGGCTGCCTCCTGCACGCCCCCTACTGGGGATTGAGCCTGCAACCCGTGCATGTGCCCTGACCAGAATCGAACCTGGGACCCTTCAGTCTGCAGGCTGATGCTCCATCCACTGCGCCAAACCAGCTAGGGCTCTCTCGGCGTTTTAGATGAAGAAATCATGTTACATGTCTGTGCATAGAAACGGATGTTGAAAAGGTAACAGAAGTGGTGGGTGCTTTCTTTCATTTCAAAAGAAAGGCAATGAAAAAGAATTTTCGTAAGTGATACAATATTCCTAAAAAGTGTTTGGTAGGTTTAGTGACAAAAGGAAAGAATCAAAATTTAACAAAGTGAATTTTGTATAATTTGGATTTTAAATGGATTTTAATCAGGAGAATTTCTCGGTAAATCTCAGTAAGGTATGGAGTAAACTTTGATCTTCAGCTTCAGACTTTAATCGTAGACCAGTCGCTATTATTAAGAACCCAGCTCTGAATTACTGTCTGAGGAAGGGATCCTGAAAGCATGTGGGAAATTAGGGGTAAAGCACCCTTGAAACGTATAAAAACAGTATTTTGTATAGTATTTTGCTTTAAAAAATTTTATATTTTGTAAATACAGTTTTTAAATTATATGATATATATTAAAACTTAAGACATTTATTGCGAAAGCCCAAAAGCTAAGGCGATAAAATTATCTCAGAAATAATATTAGCTTCTGTTTTTCTTCATACTATCAATTCTGCCTTTTTATATATATATTGAAAAAGAAGCTAATTGAGCAGTTAGTTATATGGATGTGTATTTCTTGCCAAAATATCAGTTTTATAAGTGTTAGAGTTTAAAATATGCTGCAAAACATTGAGGATTGTGTTATTTCAAGCAGTGAGATTAGTTGAATTCTGTTTTTAATTAATGTTTAACTTGTAAAGTTATTATAATAAATTATACAAAAAGTGTAGAAAGTCTTCACTGAAAAAACAGAATCTAAATCAGAATAATGATCAACTTGTGGATTTGATTTCCTGGGTATTTATTATATTGTATGTAATGCTGCTTTTCCATGTGAATGTTGAATGGTCTTTCTTGTTTTAGTATTCACGCATGTATATTCACCATATTTTACAAGGTTCCTGGTAAAAGTTGCAGGGCTGTATTTAAAGTTATATTTTAATGTAACTGCTTAGGTTTTTTATGAATTGTTAAATATTTCAGTATTATATAGAAAAAATAGATTTCTAAGTTCAGAATGGACAAAGAAAGAATATTCTTTTTTTTTCATAACAAGCTAGAAAAATGTTTCCCTTTCCCCCAGGTCTCATTCTGTTTCCTTTCCATTTTATTACCAAGGCAGAACAATAATTTGTGGATAAGAGCAAGCACCTGGAAATATCTCAGGTCTAATATTAAAATCAAGGCTAAACATTTGAATGTGACCCTAAGAGTTTAACGAAATTGTTATTCATTGAATGTGATTCTCAGAAATGACAAGTGAACAAATATAGTGCTTATTTTAAAAACGGGTTTAGCATCCACTGATTAGACTAACCTGAAAAATAGACACTCTCATGCCCCCCCCCCCTTTTTACAAAGTAAGTCTATTTTATCAACATTAAAAAGTAAGCCATCTTTTTTAAAAGATGGAGACTGTAGTTTTCATTGAGGACCAATTTTTTTCTATTAAAACTTTTTATAATTACCTTACCAAGCAGTTGTGAGAATCAGGCAGTTTCTAATTCACAAAAACCTGGTTGCTATTTAGTCATTGTTTAAAAACAATAATGCCCACTTGGGCTTCTCTCTGGCATGCCTGAGCAGGAACGCCTAACTCGCAAGCTATGTCTTTTGGGATCTTCTTTTCCTTTTCCTCCTTGGCATCTCCACGGAAGGACCCTTGAACTTCTCACCTGTCTGTTTCACTCGCTGACAATCTTCCTGTGGCTCACTTCCTTCCCATTCCCCATCACGGTGGAGGTAGCACCATGGGGCTCCTGAGAACTGGTTCTGGGGCCCAAACATTCTTAACCAGGCCAGGCTATTTTGCCTGCATTGTTTAGGGCTCTTTATGTTGCAAGGAACAGAAAACCCAATCCAAACTGACAAACATTAAAGGAAATGTATTGACTTAGTAGCTGAAAAGTCCAGGGTTCTGACCAGTTTAAGTGAAGCTTTAGCTGAAAAGTCCAGGGTTCTGACCAGTTTAAGTGAAGCTTGATCCGAAAGTTCCCAGTATGTTCCCAGGGCTCCACAGGGTTCTGGTTACCCCCCTACCACCATCACCAGTACCACCATCTTCTAAGTCAGGCTCCACAGGGTTCTGGTTACCCCCCTACCACCATCACCAGTACCACCATCACCAGCACCTCCAGCATTTCTTTTCTTCTTATCAACATGATACCACACTTCCAGACCTCCTATCCTCCTATCACTCATTCAGCGGCAAGAGAGATTCCATTCTAAGGAGAGAAAATTGTGTGTGTGTGTGTGTGTGTGTGTGCGTGGTTTCTTTCTTTTTTTTTTCTTTTTGGTTGCTCACACATAGAAGAGGGAAAAATTATTCCTCAGAATGCCTAGCAAAGGTCATCACTGGCCCTGATTGGTTAGTGTGCCCATCCCTGAGCCAATCACAATGGCCACTGGTGAAGTTGGGTGATATACATTGATCTTAAGGCGATCAAGCCACATACAGGGGGCTGGTAGTGGGGTTCATTCCAACTAAACCTGCATCGCTTGAGAATTAGAGAAGCAGTGAGTCCACAGAGAAAATCTGAAGTGTTATCCACCTGAAAGGTACCTAAATGCCCAGCAGCACAGTGATTAGATGTCCTCAGTTCTACTGATTTGTTTAGAAAACAGCTTTCTATGGTATCACATGGGTCAGGCTCACAGCCAAAGCACTGTGGGTACGAATGCCTAGATTTGTTTAAATGTTTATGGTGTTAAAGTTAGCCTAGTGTAATAATTTTCAACTTAAGAGTTCAACTTTTTTTGTAAATTTGGAACTGCCTAAGAGGCAATGATTAGAGTCAATGATGATTCTTGAAATGAAATCAAGACAAACACATCAAACAGTGTTATCTGTGATCTCTGGGAAAGGAGTTGGCTAATTAAAGAATTTTCCTGATAATAGTAATTCCTATAACATTAAAAACACTTTAATTTATTTGAATATAAACTATTGCATTATTTCCTTACCCACCATCTGGATTGATAGCTGTTTTGTTTTTGCTTTAAAAAAATGATAATAGTATACTAAGAATAACAATGGATTTTTATTACATAAATTAGATGCCATGACCCTATTGTGAAGCTTTTATATCCATGTGATATTCACAGTAAATATTTTAGAACACACTTTAATTTTCTGAAGAAGTGTCAGTACTCATATGTTTGGTTTTACTTAGTTTAAAATGTGGACCAGAAAAGCTTGCCATCAAAATATTTATTTGTGCAGTTTGGTGAGATGTTGGTACTTTTGCATCATCTCTCAAAGGCTGTCATAGAGTGAGGAATGAAACCAACCATTTGGAGGCAGTTAGTTAGTTATCCGGAACATTATAATCCACTTAGCTGACTTGAGAGGGAAAAAATTCAAATCCTATCCCCAGGAACCATGAATACTCCTCAAGACAAGCCTTCCCTGAGGAGAGTTGGCTAAGATGCTGTGATTTTTTTAAAAATTTCAGTTTCACTATAGACCAGATGTGATAAATCATTGCATTTCTTGGAGTGGGATGACAAGGTCAGCTGAGAAGGACAAATGCATGTGGCACAGCATGAAAGGGACACAGGCACACCAAGGACTCACTTCCTTTTAAAAATAAAACATTAGTGAACACTCAGGTAGTACTCACTATGTCCCAGGGATTGTTCTAAATAGAGCATAGATGCCTAAAGACATTGAATCTTCACAGTAGCCTCTCAAAGTCGGTACCATGATTGTGGTCCTCATTCCCCATCTGAGGAAACAGACACAGTAATAGTGATTGAATAACTAGCCCAACATCGCAAAGAACGGACTGGCTTCAGAGTCTGTGCCCTTGACTAGCGTATCATTCTTGTGTCTCACAGCATAGGATGGTCAGTACACTGAGCTTACAGTGCATCATTTAAAGAGTTTGGGGGGGATTTGTACATGTAATGAAAATTGCAGGATGTTCATGACTTCATGGTTTGGTTACATAATTTGGTTGAGAAGCAGGAGTAAAGTGATGGGAGAACGGAGATCTTCGAATTCTTCATGAAATATAATGGAAGTACATCGTCTCTTGATTTCTAAGTGATTTCAACTGCCTGCTATTTGAGATCCCAGGGCGGCTCGCAGTTGGATTCTGCAAGAGCCTAACAACCATTCCAAAAGGAAATAAGTAGGGGTATAGATCAAGCTAATTTAGTGTGACATTAAATAAATACTTACATCCTTTCTATTGTAGTGCTTACAGCCAATTGTTACATAAGGTGTTATTTTTAATAGACGGGTGAAATTCACCATTGGTAACGGTTTACATTCGCATCCAAAAAGAAACCACTAGAGATGGTTTGCACGATTAAAAACTCCTGAAACGAAGTCATGCTGAGGAAAAACAGCCTCCCCCACTGCTTGTAAAGAGAGAGCAATAATGAATGTGGACCAGATCAGCGCAAGCTGAAGTCTCATGTGTGACTTTTTAATTGGCAGAATAAGTGAAAGCATCTGAGTCGTGTGAGAACTGGAAAAGCAGAAAGCGGGGTGGATCCAGGGCTGCCTGTTTTCCTCGGTCACACTGCCAATCTGAACCCTCGGGGTGACTCACCTCCATGGAAGCCAACAGCCTTTCCTTATGCGGATTAGTAACAACCAAGCACCCGGGACCATGGCCCACATCTACCCGGCCATGTTCACCCAAGAAAAAGGAAGGGTGACCCCTTGCAGCTCCTAAGTATTCTTTGATTAAAAAGAGAGGAAGGTCACCAAATTTAACTCTGAGCATTTAAACATACCTTGGACTCTTCCTAACCAAGGAAAGGTGTACATATACAAAATGTAAGTCAGTGATTGCCCATATATTTCTAGTATATAATCCCTATGTTTCTTTAAATTGTTTAAGTCTTTATTGTTGAGAGTATTACAGATGTCCCCCGTTGACCCCCTCCATCCAGTTCTCGCCCCCCACCCCAGGCCTCCACTACACTATTGTCTGTGTTCATGGGTTATGCAAATATGCATAGAAATTCTTCGGTTAATCTCTTCTCACCCCACCTCCCCTCTTCCCTCTGAGATACATCAGTCTGTTCCACATCTCTGGATCTATTTTGTCAGTTTATTTTGATTGGTAGATTCCACATATGAGTGAGATCATGTGATACTAGTCTTTCTCTGATTGGCTTATTTCACTTAACATAATACTCTCCAGGTCCCTCCATGCTATCTCAAAGGGTAAGAGATACTTCTTTTTTTACAGCTGCATAGTATTCCATTGTGTAAATGTGCCACAGCTTTTTTATCCACTCATCTACTGATGGGCACTTGGGCTGTTTCCATATCTTAGCTATTGTGAATAGTGCTGCTATGAACATAGGGGTGCATATATTCTTTCTGATTGGTGATTTGGGATTCTTAGGATATATTCCTAGAAGTGGGATCTCTGGGTCAAATGGCAGTTCCATTTTTAATTTTTTGAGGAAACTCTATACTGTTTTCCATAGTGGTTGTACACCAGTCTGCATTTCCAGTAGCAGTGTACTAGGGTTCCCTTTTCTCCGTTTCCTCGCCAGCATTTATTTGTTGATGGTAGTGATTCTGACAGGCATGAGGTGATACCTCATTGTCATTTTAATTTGCATCTCTCTGATAATTAGTGACTTTGAGCATCTTTTCGTATGTCTCTTGGCCTTCTGTATGTCCAATTTGAAGAAGTGTCTATTTAGGTCCTTTGCCCATGTTTTTTTAAATTGGACTGTCTTCCTTTTGTTAAGTTTTGAGTTCTTTATATATTTTGGAAGTTAATCCCTTATCAGATGTGTCATTGCCAAATATGTCCTCCCATACAATGGGGTCACTTTTCATTTGCTTTTAAATCTCCCCTCTGCTCAGGGATTTCTGTTCTTGTCAAATAAAGCAAACAGTACTTCTCTCATCATATTCCCAAACCACAGGGGCATGCAGAAGTCAGTTTCCAAATTGACCCTTTTATTCCACTGGTGACACAGAAGGCTCAGACTTGGCAGGGAACTCACCGGCCGCAGTCCTGAGCTCGCTCACCTGATCATGTCACATCCAAGCAGGAGTAGCAGCACGTGGACGAGCAGGACTGCATTTGAATGCATGATGCGTTTCTGAAAATGTATTTGAAAGTCAAACGTATGAATTTCAAGTAACAGACTGACCGTTATGTGTTGATCCCCAAAAGCAAAAGAAGTTTCAAAATTCCAATTCAAGATTCCTCTCTTGCCCAGG